GGGAGGGGAGGGTGGAGTCGGGCAGCTGAGGAATCTGCAGCTTGTGCCAGCGCCACGGAAACCCTTTCCAAAACAAGACTCAAAACTACCCTTAACGATCTGAAAGCCTGACTTTGACTCACAGCTCTGCTCCCACCGCCTTTTCCCGTGGGGGCACTCACGCCCGTTACGCACTGTCACCCCCTGACCACCGCTCCTCCCGACGCCTCCTGCTCCAGCCCCAGCTCCCGCCCCACACCGCTTGCCCTTCTTCAGCCTGGCCGAGGGCCCTTCCCTGGGAGGACCGGTCCCACCACCAACCCACGGCAGGGGGAGGCGCTGTGCAAGGGGGGAGCCAGCGGCTGTCCTGCCCCCGTCCTCGAGGTAAACCAGAAACATCTCACTTGAACGAGCGTGCATGCGCTGCAAGTCCTCCTCAGCCTGTGGATTGTAAACGCCACCGGTCTCGACCGCCGCAGGAGGAGACACATGTGTGCGCATACACATGACTGGTAACTCCCTCTTCCACAAATTAGAGGAAGATTTAACAAGATGCACCGCCTCGCAGGTTTTGCAGGGACACGAGGCTTTGAACAGGACCTTTCACAAGTCCTGCCCAGTGCAGCCAGGGTTTGCTCGAAAAACACATGCCCAACTTCAACTTTCAATGTTGCTGTTGTCTACCTGTAACTACACCTGCCACAGTGTGAAACCCCAACATCAGCTCAGATCACTTTCACAGCTTTGCCCAGGGACATGGAAAACATATTACATGCAGAAGAAAATGTCATTACTGCATTTATGCTTTCATCATTTGGCAGAGATTTTAGAACAGGGGAAAAAAGGCAGACTGGAGTCTAGATTGAAAAGACATACCTGGTGCTTTCTCCACAAAGATTACTTTGGAATCTTGCAGAAAGTTATGGCCAGTCAGTATCATTTTTTTCCCTCCAATAACAGGAAAGCTGTCAGTACTTTGCTTCTCCACCAGAGGCAGTTCTTGGGCAGATCTCTGAGCTGGAGAGTTATAAAGAAGATAAAAAGGCAACCACAAACACACACACACAAATAAGTAAATACTGCATTAGTAAGTAACTTAATGCTTACCCTCATAATCTAAGCTGATTTTGATATAGAAACAAAGAAAGGTCAGAAGGTTTGCAGGAAACATGGTTGGTTTTCAAGCATCTTGATCGCGAACCACAGGGTTATCAAACACAGCAGTACAGATTCAGAAGGCTCACAAAGAACAAGCTGTTTTAAAACTCAGCTTGATCTGTACTGTATAAAAAAGTGTATTTTTATTGAAATTCGTTTATTTAAAATACTTTTCTCTATGTTTTCTGTAACATACATGCTGTGTGTTTGCAAGACAGACACGACAAGATGACCATCCGTGTCCAAAATGTGATTTCAGTCACTAAACGCTGTATTGTCAATCCTGCAAACTGTCCTGCAGCACCGGCAGCAGCCACGGGCCACGCGATCCAGCCAAAGTTCACAGTTTAGCGAGCGTATTTCCACCAGCACCTGAGTGCCAAAGCACATGTGGATCCATGCAAACAGAATCCGGTGTTCTCGTGGCACATATTTTATCCCCCCCAACTGGGACACGGAGTGAGCGTGGCTGTGCTTCAAGGGATGATGAGACATTTTATCCAGATTACATGGTTCCTCCTGGTGTCACATGCACTAAGAGATGCATGAAGTTTTTGGCACCAGCTTATTCCACACTCTGCACTGGAAATAACACTAGCACTTATTTTTTTCTCCTGTTTTCCGCTCCTTTTAGGAGGCACTTATCACGCTTTTGCTTGTTACACAACCCTCACAACTGCGGTTCACTGACACGAATCCAATCGGCTTCATGTTTAGTGGCTTCCTGAGCTTGGCACCTTTGCACCGAGCACTTCAGGATGTATTTAAATTGTGGGTTATCCTGCTATATAGCAACTGAAAAGCTCTCATCAGCTTCAACAGCAGATGGATGAAACCACAACTCCTCTCCTTTTTTTGCATTGCCTGTTAGCCTAGAACTTGCCTTGAATAAGAAACAAAGGGGAAATTGTTCATGTCATAGCATATCCTGGACAGAAGACAGGGCTTTATGCCAGTCTACCTGCTATAGGTAAGGAGGCTCTGTTATTCTTCACAAATAACATAGGCGTATCTCAGTGTAACTCCCTTCCCACTGCCAATGCTCATTTGTTTATTTAAATGACTGACTGTGGAGGAGAGAAGCTATCACTGTTGGTCTAACAGCACTACCCTTTCCTGCAACTTCTGCCTCTCTTGCAGACTGGGACCACCAGAGCGGCAGCGGTGCTACCCTAGGCGAAAGGATGGAGTACTGTCGCTGGTCTGAAAGTCTGTCACTGCTTTTGCAAGAGGAATGCAGAAATGCTCTTTTCCGTGGCCTCTCTATTAATGATCCCTGAAAAAGCACCATGCCTCCAAGAGGTCAAATGTTGACGTGCTCCAGGACCTGCCAGACACCTTGTGTGGGACTCCAGCCTGGCAATGGTGCAGGGACAATTCCTCCCCATCCCCTCTGCTCCTCACTCCCAGAGCTCACCCCCCACATACCTGCCAGACATTAAGTTACTCCCTACCCTGCCGGCATCAGAAAGATCCACTTTGTGGAATCCAACAAAACCTTAAAAAACTGTTTCGGTACATCCAGCTGACCAAATTAGCAATGGGAGTTATGACTGAAATTCCATTTCCACCACTTATGCTGGAGTGTTAAAGCTACACGAAGCAAATAGGTTTTGGTTTGTGTGTGGGAGGCTGACGAGGCTTACAGAGCACCTTTGGAGGGTGCCCCAATGCATCTGGTAAAAAGCAGTCTGTTCAATCAAAGAGACCCCAGTGCAGAAACCTGGTTTCTGAAGGTTTTCTGAAGCTGCCGGCAGCGTGTGCCAGTGTGTCAGCTCTAGTACACCGCTGGCTCAGCAGCAAAGAGGCTGGGGTTTTGCTTGCTGTTTTTTGCTTTTTGATAGGGAGACAGAGAGTGAATAGGACATGATAGCCGTTTTCCAGAACTCCTACAGCAGTTACCTATATGATAGGGAGTCACCAAAAAAAAAAAAAAAAAGCCTTGTCACTCCCAGATCTACTACTAGTTTAAGTGCACTCTACTTTTCTTTTAAGTGTGTTCTTTCCTATAGAAATCAATGCACAAAGTTACATGGTTTTTTGTAAGACCCGGGTGTTTTGTCTTCAGTATAAACCACATGCTTTTGGAAAGCAGACTGAGGTTCACTGACCAGGCAGGTAAAGCTAAACCAGCATATATAGCATGTTGGTGGACAAAGACTGTGTGGGGGGTGGCATAATACCCAGCAAAAGAAGGATGGTTTTTGCTACTTACAGCACTCGATGGGGTTGGAGGCTACTTGCAAGGAGAGGGTCCTGCCGTTGGCTTGCGGGATATGAACCCTGAAGACCAGCCGCACGCGCGTGTTCTTCCGACCGATGTCCGTTTCTCCCTTGCGCAGCTCGATGTCAGAGTTTCGGAGCTTTAATATCCCAGCACAGTCGATGCTGTCCAAAAGGAAACGCAGAGCAATTAGATTCATTTCAAGCAGACCTCAGGAGGACAGGAGTGTGCAGTATCTCCCCTCTCTCCTGTACATCCTTCTTAAAGATCTGAGTCAGACATGACCCAATGACCAGGCTGAACACAGCAGACTTTGTTAAGCCTCGTACTTGCATCCACAAGTAGCTAAGTTGGGGCTATCTCTAGTAACAGGCTAGGATGTTACTTCAGTTCCCAGAGGGAGAAAATCCAAAAGATCTTCCTCCCCAACACATCCTGTTAAGGATGGCGCTTACAGATTAACCAAAGCCCAAAGAAAGAGTGAAACTAAAAAAGTCAATGGGAGGAGACAGTAGTGCACAAAGCGTTACTAACCTAGAATGCAGAGTTACTTACGATTTCACTCATTACAGCTAATTCAGAGAAAAATCTGACATTATTTTTATTCTAGGGCAAAGTCCTGAAAATGCTTATTAATGAGCACAGCTCTCCCTGAGGTCAGTTCTACTGTCAATGTGTTTGCATTTGAATGAGCTGGAAATACTCCCAAGCCGAGCATTGAGCTGAAGCTCTCCGTGAAAAAAACTGAACTCACGAGTCCTCCCTCCGCATCAGGGAAAAACGTGCTTTTTGTCAGATAGGACTACTATTATTTCTGACCTCTCTCTCTCCTTTTCTTTTTTAACTTTGGTTAACTGGATGAGTTTACAAGTCAGGATTTTTGTCAAAGCAAATTTCAACAGAGGAAGTTCCCAGAACAAAAGATATGTAAACACACGCACTCAAAAACCCACTGCAAAAATACCTCTGCTTTGGCCACAACTACAAAGCCTACATGGCAATTCCTTCTGGGTACTGGTCTCTGGCATGCATTTTATTACACTGAATATGCATAGTTTAATTTTATTTTGCATTCAAAGAGTTTAATTCCCCCTCCAGACCTTTGAAGCTCTGTTCTGAAGCAAACTGCAAACAAGAACTATGGCAGCACGGGTTTGATCTGCATTTTTTCTTAAGTATGGATTTCAGAATAACGAAAAGGCCCTTGCAGAGATGATCAAAGAAACTAATGAAAGTATTAAAGCTTCTCAACAATGCATATTAGCAGGTGAAGCCATAAGAATTATGAAGTATTTGTACTCGTGTCAAAATTCTATGCAAAGATCCATAAGCTACAGAAGAAATAGTATGCTTCTCAATACTGTCTGTCCTGTAGCAACACCTGTAAAATAACTAAAAAGAGCCAATAAAGTTCAGAGGAGAAAAAGCATTTAAATTCAGGCCTATGTAAAGTCATGGACATTAAAATCTGAAGTCAACAGGAGTAGTTAAATGTGCAAAAGTTTAAATGTGCAGATGAGCTTCAGTGTCTCACTGACTCAAGGCCTGAATACACAAAGTAATGTGTGAGAAAAGTCCTTGGCTCCAAATTTCAATTCGTTGTTAGTGCTACAGGAGGATTTAGACTACTGACGTGTAAGGCTTATATATGCCAAAGCATTGTTTGTGGTTCTTGAGAGAGCTCTACTACGATCTGGCACTCACGTCACAAAAATATTCAGCTTGGCTCCCAAACCATGTAACTACCTTTATTCTAGGGAGAAAGATGATTGAAATGGTAATAATGTTCCTAGATGGCCAAAAATGTGATTCAAACTGGATAAACAAAGGGCCCAGTAAATATTGCGTGGGTACAAATTGGTGAAATTTCAATAACCTCCGTGGCGGCGTGCCAGCTTATGACGACAGCAAATGGGGCCAGTAATTTTGCAGCCTTGTCATGACTTTTAACACAATGCACTGACCGAGGTCCTCAGGTCTTGAGTGATCAGCCTAAGCCCAGCTGGCAATGCAGCTAAGCACATTCTAGCTCTTCTATTTACATGAGGCACTCCGGGGCATGTTGTACATGACACTGCAAACCAGCTTCTAATAACCACCACGTGCGGAAGGACTTCAGGTGTCTGATACCATTTTTCACTTCATTAAGGAGCGGAAAAGTGTATGAATAACAAGGAGTGGAACTGTGATTTTAGTAAGCTCCCTGGGATTTTCCCGTGGTATTTGGCTTGGTGGGGCCAAGACTTTTTGCTTGCTTTCTGTCTGCCTACCTACTTATCTTTCTATCTCCCTATACATACACACAAAGGTGCATGCATCCGTATATAAATATGAATACATTCACATTTAGACGCACACCGAGAGTCGTACATGCACGCAAGCACGCACAGATTCCTCCCAAGGCAGACACCTCAGATAAGGGTTAGGATCATCTGAACGACGAGGGCAGAGAGGATGGGATTGAATAATGTGGAAGGTCTCACATATGTCACATCCACAGAAGGACATTTGAACCCTATAGTGACATATACCCGTGTGTAATGGACCTACAGGGCACTTACCACTCAGGCTCCTACTAATTCAGAGATCCTAAGACATCCATGCCTGCTCTTCTGTATAGGACTAAACTTACCCCAGTTTAATAACTCAAATCTGTAAGTTGTCTCACCTTTACTCGTCTTCTTAGATCTGGAAGCTTTGCTTCTAAGCAAATGCCATGAAAAATGCTGGGTTTTATTACGTAAGAAATGAGTGGTCTTACTCATCTCAAAAATACTCTAGGGTACTTGGAAATGCTCTCTAAGAGTTTCCTTTGACATCCAAAGATAAATTTTAATAGTCCCTGTTCCTTGTGCTAGTGCGTAGAGGAGCAAGAGGTGTCATATTTAGAAACTAAATGCAGGAGCTGAGGTAGGAGATATTTACAGCTTGGTAACTGAGATACTTATTTTAAATGGCAAATAAGCACATTGGCTGAAACTCTAGAATGAAAGCAATCAGCTGTCATAAATATTTGTGAAGTTAATTTTGTTGTTAAGCTGATTAGGGGCAATTTGTCCCAGCAAAGTTGTGAAAAACTACTATTATGGAGAGAACTTTAAAAAAAAAAAAAAAAAAAGATAGGAAAACAGTGTAAAAAAAAAAAAAAAGAAAAAAAAATCAACACAGAAGAAATCAAGTGGGGCGACCAAGAGGAAACTGCTAGGAGTCAGATACGGTGCCGGGGTCTTACATTGCTCTCATGTTGTTCTCTGGAAGAAGCGGAATTTCCAGGACTTTGGTGTTGGAAAGTATTGTTTCGTGGCTGGTGGTGGAAACGGTCTTCCCGGTGATTCGATGAACCTGGTAGAAAGCATGGGGTCGCAGCAGGCGGTCGTCTGCAGTCCCGATGAACAGCTGTAGCGTGAGCGGCTCGCTTTCTAAGTAACCGTGTAGCTGGCAAGAGAACACAAAACGCCCACTGAGCACCATGCACATAAACTGCTAGGAATCAATTAAATTTTTATAAGCAGGAGAGCCTAATTCAAGGAGAGAACTTGTGACAGGTGCTATGTGTTAAGTTCCCCCCTTCCATTTTTCCTGTAACGTAATATTGGTACAATAAAAAGGTGCACTCAGAAAATGTCTCATTATCCTGAAGGACCCGAGGCGCTTTAGTTGGGGTGAGCTCTTGAGCACTCCTGCTACGTCCACAGAAAACTTTGCATAAATTCTGCCGGGGCGTTCAGCAAAAAACCACAATTAAGTCAATGTTCCCTCCCAGTGCTGAGGGTGGCAAAACTGATGGAGTTTGCAAGTGGAAAGGACAGAGCTCGCCCATGCCGAGCTTCCCGGGTCACCCCTCATGCAGCAACAGGCTGCTGCTTGGGACACGTCCCCTCATTAACCGATTTTTATGCTAGTAAATACCTCCTGGGACAGCGTGGACACAGATCACATATACATGACTAGTAGCTCACCATGTGTGTCAAATTCTTGTTATAATCGCACAAAAATCTCATTGAAGCTACTGGGCCTGACTTGAACCTCATCCATGTTACAGTGAACGCTCTGATGACAACAAGAGTTATTTCTGCCACAGGCTGGGGCGGGAGCAGGAGCGGAGTCTGACCTCATCCCCACCATCTCCTCAAGAAGCTGCTCCAGGTTCACACTGGTGCGAAGGAGACCACGGGTGGAGCTGTCTGGGGACCGCTCCAACCTCTGCCTCACGCTGCTGCTGGCAAACGAGTCTCACAAAAACCAGTGACCCTGCAGCGGTTAGCTGTGAGGCCCCCTCCCAAGGGAAGGGAGGATGCAGCAACTCTACAGGAGAGAGGAGCGTGGGCAAGGTGGGCTGTCGCAGGAGATGTGCCATCCCAGAGCAAACCTGCTCGCTTTGATCTAGGTTTAGTTTCCTCTGCGAATGGTTCAGGTGGGTTTGGGCACAACTTAGCCACCATCCCTGCACTGACCACTAAATCTGACAGACCAAAATTAGACCACTGATCATAATTTGGTGAGGAGCAACATTGTTCATTTGCGGTGCACGGAAGTCCAAAGCTGAAAGCAAGTGGTGAAAACCATATTAAATGTTGTTGATATTTGTGTTTTGCTTGCTTTCACGCTCCTTAAATCTTAAAAAGTGATTTGTGGCTTTTTTA